GAGTTCATGGTTTGCCAATATTCAGTTCTGACTGGTTCAAAGCCCACATCGATCTTGCAAGCCCACATGACCAAATCAGAACGTCTTTTGCGAGTTTTTTCGCGGCCACTGGCGCGGACGGAGCAGACAGTACAGGGCCTTAGAGATTCAGGATTTGGTACCATTGGTGCGTGCCTTATTGGAGTTCAGTGTCTTTCATGTTGGGTTGGCCACATTTCGACAGACTAGAGGAGCAAGTATGGGCAGCCAATGGGCGCCAGTTTTGTGTTCCAGTGTGGCATTGCATCGTGAACACACGTTCGCACATGTTTGACGGCGCCCTTATCTGACCTTCCCTACACACATATTTCTCGCTATGTGGACAACAGACTGCTTCTTGATCCCACAGGGCAAAACCATGGACTGGCTCGAGCGCTGTATTGGAATTTGCAGTTCTACACACCCCCTATTGAACTCGAGGTGGTAGAAGGTCATGATGCATTGGGCTTCAACATTGATCCATTACAACAAACGATCACTGTGTTGCAACCGTGGGACAAACAATTTCGATCAATGAGTGCACTTGGTCCCAGTTCAGTACCTTTTCTGGCCTATTTGCACGCATCCGCCTGATTTGCCAACATGTTTTTCCCAGGGAACTACAAATTGCTCAATTACAAGACTTGGTTGCTCTGTATTGCGCTCGAGACTCTGGCTTTCTTCAACACAAATCCAAGATCTACCGCGTGGTGGCATCACTTCGTCCTGAGATTTCCATGTCAACGTTATTTGCATACGCAAACGACTCAACGCGAATTGTAAAAAGCAACATGAGCCCTGAATAGTAAGCTGTGCATTGTCTTGACGTGTTTCATTGTTATGCTTTCTGTTCTCTTGTTTTTTCTGTAATTGCTTTTTCTGTTGTCAGCACTTGTGTCAGATTCTGTACCGCAATCAGGATCAATCAGGTATACGCCGTACAGCGTTTAGCTTTCAAACCACTGTGCGCCGACATTGCGCTTGTACTCATACCATTGCCATGGACTCTCGTAGACACAATCGCATTGCTTCAACGGTTCAGATCGAGATGACCCGTGTGCTTCTGCACATCGTCAGTGAATGTTGTGATACTATTTCAGAGCTTCAAAATTTGACACGCGACAACCAAACTGGGGTGAATGTCCTGAAGAAATTCGACGGTTGCGAGCAGAGATCAATACATTGAACACGCAACGCAGTGTATGTGGCCTTGAACCAAGCAGAGCGAGAGAGAGAGTCATTGATCGGTCCATGACTCATTTCTAAATCGTCCTACGGGGGAAACAGCAGATGACGTTCCTGTGATCACACCATCCCGTGTTCGATCACCAACGTCATCGACACCGATGGACTGACTATAGACATCAACCAGAGATGCGGAAGAAAACAACAAACGCTTCGTGTTTGAATTTTATCGGTGTTCATTTCAACATGACGTTGACACTTCACATTGCACCTTTCCCTAATTATCACATTGCCCTTGTCTTTTATTTTGCATTTTTAGCTGTTAGCCTCGACGGTCAATGATGTATTCGACCCAGATGTGGCTCACACAGTCTTGCTGTCGACTTGTACACATGCAATCTACTGTGATTCTGACCGGACTTAGGTGCGTGATTTTGAGACGTAACACTAAGGGCGTTGTTGGGATCGACCGGCTTGGACCTTAACCAGTTTGACTTAGGGATCACCATCGTCACAGAATTCATCGTTGTGCACAGGTCCGCTCATGAATTCTGAGCCCTCCATAGGGAGGGCCCTGTGTGTGTAGCCCGCTTTTACATGCAGTTGGAGAGCTGAGATGACTTCGAACTTGACCTTTTTCAACTCTTGAAAGTAGGGGATGACTTCGAACTTGACTTTTATCAACTGTTGAAAGCAGGGGGGTGCCCCACACCTGAAGAGAGGGCATCTAACAAAGAGACTCTTCAGGTTGTGCTGATATCAGCAAGGACGCTTGCTGACGTACCTGCGTCAACTTTTTAACTTACCGTAAAGGGCTAATGCATTGCTCGATGGTGTCGCCGACTTTGCTTGTTGAAATTTCTCAAGGACACACACTTAGGAGGTTCTGGGCTTTGTCGTCACCCTAACGTTCCAACTTCAAGACTCCGTCCCCAGTGTGTGTAGTCATCAGTCCAACATGTAACAGTGCATGGAAAGTTGGAAAAGTTCAACTGCATGTCACTCGAACCGTGAAAGCTCTGGAAAGAAACTCCGTAAACCCGGCGGTGTCGAATCTCCATAAACTCGGCGTGTTGTGGCAGGAAATTCATTGGGTGAAACAAACTTCATCAAACCAGAATCCACGATGGCTGCACTTCGAGTCAGAAACACGATAGTCCGGAGTGGCTTCAGCGCCTCTCTTGCGAGAGGATCATCAACCCTCTTCCCCAGTGGTGCTGAATGCAAAGGAACACACTTCGATAATGGGTTTGCAGTTAACTCTGTTCCACGAAGAAAGGAATGAGGGAACGGAAAGGCGATGGAGTCCGCTGACTTGAATTGTTAAAACATTGTTTTGCACATCTGCCGAATGAATACGTAGCCGAGAAATTAGTTACTGAATACTTAGCAGAAACGATTTAACGCCGTGCGTGGAACCCTGGTTTGGGGGACGTATCATGAAAACCACCATAAAAGCGAAAAAGAGAGTAGAACAGCGTGAACAACAGTTAAACCGCCGGTACGTTTGCGCCCAGGTGGGGGGTGTCTTCGTTGGCCGGAGACCCCCCACCTGGCTCCGGCCCCCGGCGGCTTTAAACAAACTCAAAAACCCTCGAAACAGAGTAACAAAAACTCCTAGAGACGGAGGTTGACGCACACACACACACACTTAGACAATGGGTTTGCAGTTAACTCAGTTCCACGAGAAAATGGTGAGGGAACGGAAAGGCGAGAAGGTCGGCTCACTTGAAGTATTGAAAACTCTGTTTGTGCACATCTGCTGTAAGTCAGGCGGCTCACGAGCGGCAGAACGCTGCGTAGGGAAACCTGTTAGGGAAATAGCGTGAAGAACCACCATGAAAACAAGGAACAGCGGGGAACAGTAGAGTGTTGTCACTTGCAGGTACACAGGGCTGATCAGGCCCTGTTTCCCACTCTCGCCCACAGCTTCGTTGCGTGTGGTAGGGCGAGAGTGCCACACGCCCCAGCACTTAACAAAAAACTCTTCGGGACAGAGTGTGACACACTTTGACAATGGGTTTGCAGTTAACTCTATTCCCAGGTCGAAAAGGGTGAAGGAACGGAAAGGCGAGTGAGTCCGAAAACTTGAAGATGTTTAACAAAGGTTTTGCGTGACTGCGGAAGCTAGTTACTGCATTAGCACTTTACTGCAAGAACGGTAAGGCGAAAGGGTCCAAAGAACAGAACTGTTTAACAAACTCACTAGCACTTTACCATAGCTAAGGAAACCTGTTTTGGGGGATATCATGCGAAGAACCACCATGGAAACAAAACAGGAAAAGTAGAGTCACAGCGTAAACAACAGTTTTAGCAGGTACGTGGAAATGGCGTCCCATTTCCATATCCTCGGATGCGTCGCCAGCTTCGTTGACCAGGCGACGATGCATCCTGCCTGGTCCCCTGCTTGTGGAAAACTCTTAGGCGCAGAGTGCGACGCACACACACACACACACACACTCGGCCGCTTTGCGGCGCTCTCGCGGAGGACCTAAATAGGCACCTAAAAAGCCTTAGAAACAAGAGAAAGAAAAAACAGAAAGAGCAGCGCTAAAAGGGGAAGAGAGAAAAATAGTAGTAGCAAAAAGTGAATACGTAGCCCTTGACTGGGGTAGGGAAACGAGCCTGAAGAACAACCTAAAAAGCCTGAGAGAAAGCCCAAGGAACGACAAAAAGCGCAAGAAGGAAAGTGGGGGGCAGGGAGGTGTATGTACATGTGTGTGTCCGTGTGTGTGTGTGTATGAATATCTAGCACTCTAGAATTACTGAATTCTTAGACGAAGTGAATTAGGTGCACTAGTTAGGGAGCGGGGCTTTTGTCTCACACCGCCCGGGTAGAGAGAAAAGGGACAACAGAGGGAAAGGCACCGACACACCCTCTGTTACCCTAATTAGACGGAGGGGGGTTGGGGTGTTTGGGGTAGAGAACACGTCGGAGTTTATTCTCCGTATGCCCGGCAGCTTCGAATTTCCGTGAATCCCGGTGGCTTTGATTTTGAGAATACAGTAGTGAAACGAAAGTCAGATAAGATAATCCAATAGTGCAGAAAACAGCTGAAATCGGTTACACTGTAATCCGGAATGAATGCAGCGCCCCCTTGCGGGGGATCACACCCTGCGCCCAAGCGGGACGGCAGAGCGGCACACACTTTGACAATGGGTTTGCAGTTGACTCTATTCCCAGGTCGAAAAGGGTGAAGGAACGGAAAGGCGAGTGAGTCCGAAAACTTGAAGATGCTTAACAAAGGTTTTGCGTGACTGCGGAAGCTAGTTACTGCATTAGCACTTTACTGCAAGAACGGTAAGGCGAAAGGGTCCGAAGAACAGAACCGTTTAACAAACTCACTAGCACTTTACCAAAGCTAAGGAAACCTGTTTTGGGGGATATCATGCGAAGAACCACCATGGAAACAAAACAGGAAAAGTAGAGTCACAGCGTAAACAACAGTTTTTAGCAGGTACGTGGAAATGGCGTCCCATTTCCATATCCTCGAATGCGTCGCCAGCTTCGTTGACCAGGCGACGATGCATCCTGCCTGGTCCCCTGCTTGTGGAAAGCTCTTAGGAACAGAGTGCGACACACACTTCGAACTTGGGTTTTCAGTTAGTTCAATTGCCACGATGGGAAGGA